GGAGGTCGTCACGGCACACGAGGGGGTGGCTGGACAGCGCCACGCCCGAACGAGCTCGTCTCAACAGCAGCGATGATTACACACCGGCTACTCGTTTGTGTGCGTGCACACACACACAGTGTACACACACACAGTGTACACGTACACACTGTGTACACACACACAGTGTACACACACACAGAGTTTGTACACACACACTCAGTGTACACAGTGTACACACACAGTTTTTGCTGAGCTCACACACCCAAGGGGTCTCTGATCAAGGGAGGGAGCAATGGAAAATGAATCTAAATCAACTTAAACTCCAACCCCGCTCTGTGACGTCACCACTCAGCATTACCTCATCGGCGTGAAACGCTAGGGGGAGGTGTACCTCGCTAGTGACGTCATGTCACCAAGGTATTCACCCCACCCCGTCCACCGAGCCATTGAGCGTGACGTCACCTCTGCCTGGGTCACTTCCGTTATTTGTTCAAGTACAATCCTTATTTGGGCAAAGCTACGCCCGGTGACTAGCGGTTCATTAACATAATGTCTTCATGAAAGCCGTCACGAGTTTATTGCGAAGAGTTCGGCACCCACGCCCCATCCCTCCACTTATGGGCGAGGCTCATTAACATAATTGTGGGAATGGAGTGTCTTGTACCCCGCAAGTGACGTCATGTCACCGCCTGCTGCCGCGTGACGTCACGAGATAACAGGAAGCTGCTGCTCCGCCCGTGCACTGAAATCCGAGGTGAGAAATTCTCATCGCGGTGGTGGTTGTTGTGGTGGTTGTGGTGGTGGTTGTGGTGGTGGTTGTTGTTGTTGTTTACCGAGGTAGAGCCTCGCTCTCTCTCGTAGGGATGTCAATTGAGTAGCAGCGAGCATGGAAACGATGTCCAGGTTGGAACTTTACAACGCGGGGCCTAGCCACGCGCGGCCTTGCCTCCTGCCCTCGCCTGATCGCGTTTGCTTCAATTCTCTCGCTTAAGTTTAATTTGTCTTCACACGGCTCGCCACTTTGTAACTTTGTTTTACTTTTAAATATTCACGCAGTTTTTATTCATTTATTTTTACCAGGCCAAGCCCGCTTGAGCTGCTATACCGCTCTTGTTTTCAGAAGCGACCTGCCCACAACACAAGGTGAGGCTCAAATTCTTAGCTCTTTCGGTAAAGTCACGTTGAAGGGAAACAATAAAATAAAATAGATATAACAATAAAAATTCTCACGACGTTTCGACCATAACACAAACGGTCGTCATCAGGTGTGTCGGTTTGCATTAATTGATTAATTAATTGATTATTGCAAACCGACACACCTGATGACGACCGTTTGTGTTATGGTCGAAACGTCGTGATAATTTTTATTGTTTTATATATATTTTATTGTTTCCCTTCAACGTGACTTTACCGAAAGAGCTAAGAATATGAATTACTGCAGTCACGAAAGCTTTAAATCAAAAGGTGAGGCTCGTCAACAGCGTGGTGGTGTTCACTCTAGACGCGTGACGGTGTTCACTCTAGACGCGTGGCGGTGTTCACTCTAGACGCGTGGCGGTGTTCACTCTGGACGCATGGCGGTGTTGACTCTGGACGCGTGGCAGTGTTCACTCTAGACGCGTGGCGGTGTTCACTCTGGACGCGTGGCGGTGTTCACTCTGGACGCGTGGCGGTGTTCACTCTAGACGTGTGGTGGTGTTCACTCTAGACGCGTGGCGGTGTTCACTCTAGAAGCCTGGTGGTGTTCACTCTAGACGCGTGGTGGTGTTCACTCTAGACGTGTGGTGGTGTTCACTCTAGACGCGTGGTGGTGTTCACTCTAGACGCGTGGTGGTGTTCACTCTAGACGTGTGGTGGTGTTCACTCTAGACGTGTGGTGGTGTTCACTCTAGACGTGTGGTGGTGTTCACTCTAGACGCGTGGTGGTGTTCACTCTAGACGTGTGGTGGTGTTCACTCTGGACGCGTGGTGGTGTTCACTCTAGACGTGTGGTGGTGTTCACTCTAGACGTGTGGTGGTGTTCACTCTAGACGCGTGGTGGTGTTCACTCTAGACGTGTGGTGGTGTTCACTCTAGACGCGTGGTGGTGTTCACTCTAGACGTGTGGTGGTGTTCACTCTAGACGTGTGGTGGTGTTCACTCTAGACGTGTGGTGGTGTTCACTCTGGACGTGTGGTGGTGTTCACTCTAGACGTGTGGTGGTGTTCACTCTGGACGTGTGGTGGTGTTCACTCTAGACGTGTGGTGGTGTTCACTCTGGACGCGTGGTGGTGTTCACTCTAGACACGTGGTGGTGTTCACTCTAGACGTGTGGTGGTGTTCACTCTAGACGTGTGGTGGTGTTCACTCTGGACGTATGGTGGTGTTCACTCTAGACGTGTGGTGGTGTTCACTCTGGACGTGTGGTGGTGTTCGCTCTAGATGCGTGGTGGTGTTCACTCTAGACGCGTGGTGGTGTTCACTCTAGACGCTTGGCGGTGTTCGCTCTCTACTTGTGGAGTGGGGACAACCGGGGGATCCGGAGGGAAATTCATGCGACCACGGGGAGAGAGAGAGACACGCAAACTCCAAATATACAGCAGGTGTCAGGGTCGGGATCGAACCCACGACTTCCTGTATACCAGGAGAGGTAGTTAACATCTCACCACATGGAGAGAGACACGCAGCCTCGGCGATGTTGATTGATCTTCAATTAATTATTTGGTGGAGTAAGGAAGCATTAATACTGAGTGGATGAAGGTGGCCAGGCATGCGTATGGACACACCACCAACTGTTTACCATGCCAGTGTGTGACAGGGTCAAGTTTGTATTTGCAGTAAAGTCTATTAACTCTATTGAGCACGGAGGTTATATCAAAACAATAGTTTATTTTTGTTTTCCTCTGGAACTCTTTGTAAGAATGGAGTCAGGAAGTTATCACAGCACACGTGCAGCTGAAGTCGGAACTTTTCATCCTAGCATTCAAGGACATCTGTGCCTGGCTTTCACACCTCCAAGTTGTGATTGAACATTAATTTATGCATTTCTGCATTTCACAAATATTATTTTCAACACCCTTTGCTATGTCAGCTGAATTTAGCTTTCATAAATATTCCTTTTGTAGCCAGACAGCCGAAATTGTGTGAATTTTGGGTTGACATTCATTTTGAAGATACGAGGGCTTCCAGGCACGTTTATGACATTTGCCCTCTCATTGTGTGCCATAACAGCCCGTATGAGGAATTTGGGATACTTTTTCACTATATCATGAATATATGAATAAGTCTAGACGTGTAAGTCACGTGTGACTGTGTATATGCATTCTTCTGTGCTTCGATACTGATGTGTAAATGGTGTGGATGTTCTTTTTTTCTGTCTGCAGCTGTCGCTTCCTCTGCAGAATATGTCTGATGGAGCAAAGGCACTCGGCGCGGCTCGGTGCAAAAAGGCAACAATGTGACCGGCGTGCAAACAGCACGGATCGTCCTGACCATTTGACACGGCACCAGAGAACTCACACAGGAGAGAAACCCTTCAAGTGCAGTGTGTGTGGGAAGGCGTTTGCACGGTCACCACATCTTCAAGTACACCAGAGAACACACACAGGAGATAAACCCTTCAAGTGCAATGTGTGTGGGAAGGCGTTTTCAGTTTCATCTAATCTTGTAACACACCAGAGAACACACACAGGAGAGAAACCCTTCAAGTGCAGTGTGTGTGGGAAGGCGTTTGCACATTTATCTGCTCTTGTAACACACCAGAGAATACACACGGGAGATAAACCCTTCAAGTGCAGTGTGTGTGGGAATGCGTTTGCACGTTCATCTGCTCTTGTAACACACCAGAGAACACACACGGGAGAGAAACCCTTCAAGTGCAGTGTGTGTGGGAAGGCGTTTGCACAGTCACCACATCTTCAAGTACACCAGAGAACACACACAGGAGATAAACCCTTCAAGTGCAGTGTGTGTGGGAAGGCGTTTGTACATTCATCTCATCTTGTAACACACCAGAGAACTCACACGGGAGAGAAACCCTTCAAGTGCAGTGTGTGTGGGAAGGCGTTTGCACAGTCATCTGCTCTTGTAACACACCAGAGAACTCACACGGGAGAGAAACCCTTCAAGGGCAGTGTGTGTGGGAAGGCGTTTATACATTCATCTCCTCTTGTAGCACACCAGAGAACACAGACGGGAGAGAAACCCTTCAAGGGCAGTGTGTGTGGGAAGGCGTTTGCACAGTCATCTACTCTTAAAAAACACCAGACAACACACACGGGAGAGAAACCCTTCAAGTGCAGTGTGTGTGGGAAGGCGTTTGCACAGTCATCTACTCTTAAAAAACACCAGAAAACTCAAAAGCATCAGAAGATCCAAAAGGAGTGGAATCTGAAATCTACTTGTGAAAGTCAAAGTGCCGCAATGAGCCCATCCCTCATGAAACAAGAACCGGAAGAAAATCCCAGTTTGGACACTTTTAAAGGTATCGAAGTGAAATATGAAGAGGTGAAGGTGAAATGTGAAGAAGTGATGGTGAAGAGCGAAGAAGTGAGGGTAAAATGTGAAGCTGAAGATTCAACTCCAAAATCGGACCTTCACATCGATGGAGGCAACGTGAAGCAGGAGGAGAATTCTGACTGTGAGGCAGAGCGAGGCAACTCCCAGCAGTTTGTGGAAGTGGAGGTGTGGGTGGATTTCCTCCGAGACAATACAAAGTCAAATGGAGACCCGGTAAATGTGTAAGCCAGAGACGATGTCGCTCCTTTAGATGCACCTTTGTCACAGGCTTTTAATGACAAGAATGTGAAGTTGAACACTCAATTCCAAGGTTCAACCTACAGGGTAAGAGCGGCCAGTCTTTGTGGACCTGTGGGTTGGGTAGATCTCTAACCAGGAGCAAGAGCCAATAATCTCCCAAGCATTCACTAGGTTCTAATAATTACATTTATATGGTGCTTGCTTAATCGCCTCGGCAATTCTGAGTTTTGTATCGTATCTCGTCTCAAACACTCGAAGAGCATCCCCAAGTAGCAGCTGCCCCTGTGTGGCACAAGGTGGTGGCCCTGCACCGGCCTGCATGTGGACAAGAGCCTGTCAGTAGGGGGCGATGGTTGATGTGGCATCTCGGTTGTGTAGTTTGTAGGTAATGTTTATAATTTGATAAATTTTGACCCAGACGCCAGCATTCAATGGCCTACTCGTTTTGAATGGCGCAATAGTATGTACATACATTGTTAAGCAGACGGTGCATATGTTTTAAAATAGCTTGTTAATGCAATGTAACCTGATGCAGTATATTTCAGTGCAGTAATTACATTTTGTTAAAATTTTCAATAATTTAGAATGAATACTTGTCTGATTGTGTGCGTACATGTAACATTTTGTCTATAAGGGTCAAATATTGATTAAGTGATGTTAGGACAAAGTGTGTGTTTTGTAAATAACCTGTACAGATAACTCAGGTGAAACTCATTGTTCTTGTGATACAGGTCAAAGGGTATTTTTGCGTTTTCAGGAAGCATCTCCCTCTGGTGCAACTCATTGTCTTTGAAATATGGAGCACACTCGGATCATTCATCAATTACAAGGCATACCACTCAAACGTTACACGTAGAGGAGATACATTCTCTACAACACGAATTATAATTTTGTATTACGCATTGACGTAGATTTTGTCGAATTAGGACAAGACATGGACCTTGCTGATTAGCGTCTGGATGTTCACAACCAAGGGTTGAAGCAAGCCTGACCGCCTGCGGCGCCCCTCACAACCATTTACGGCCTTGAGCCAGGAAAGTCACGAAAAGAATTGCACACGAACGAAGCCTCCACGCAAGCTCCCGATGCTCCGTTTTGACGTTTGAAAATGAAACAACTTTGAATTGTATGTTTTGAATGAGATAATTGTATTTCTTCATTAAAAGCTTATTGAAAACGATATTTCGTGTGAATTTTCTCTCGTCAAGTAGATGGCCTTGCCGGGGGTTCGGTTCGATGCGGACTTTCACTTGGTTGGGATCGCGGGATCGAGATGAAGCGACACAGAGCTGGCCGTGCGAGAAGACCGCCGTGTGCAGATCGAACGACTGTCGCTGCGCCTCCGTCGTTCATGCAGGGGGTGCGTAGGTTTGCAGCGCCCCCTGCAAGAAAATGACGAAACGTGCAGCCTTCGTCACAGATGAAGTTGTGCGGTCATATAAAAGAGTATAGCCAGTGGGTTTTCAAGTACCTTCATCTTACAGAAATTAATTTTGCGTGAGCCCACCGCATTAAAACAATGCTCAGCTGAGTGGGGCGAGCCACGGTAGGGGGGGGGTCACCTCATCTTTGTCACGTGCCGTAGCTCACGTGACTTCTGCCGCGATAATGTCTGGATGTTTTCGTCTTAGGATGACCGCTTGTGTTGCAATCGACAACCGCGTGATTCATTTATTATTTTATTTTTTCTACCTACGTGACTTTACTCAAAGAACAAAAGAGTATGAAAGACGTCTGCTGATCTTGTTCATATCTGTGTACATCGATATCCCACATTGCTTACACACCACACAATGAAATAAATAGAAACTGGAACGACTTACGGGGATGGACAAAGATCGAGGAATCTCTTTCAATGGAGTGAGTTAAGTTTGTTCGATTCAATATCTCTCTGTCCGTCTCTGTGTGTTCGCCTGTGTCTCTGCCTGTATCTCTCTGGCTATTTTTCTCTGTGTTCCTCTTGTCTGTGTCTGTCCGCCTGTCCTGTCTGTGTGTGTCTGTCTAAAGCACAGCAAGTTGGCACAGTAGGGGGCACAGGTGGTGCATTAGCCACTCGTCTCAGTCATCTCAGTCGACCAGTCGCACCTGGGTCTGCCCCGTGACCTGCCAGCGGGCGTTCGACACTTCACGTGGCCTCAAGGTGCACATGGCCTGGCACAAGCGTCGTGGTGACGTCACCGCCACTTCGTGGCGAATGGCGGTTGTCTATCATAAAATAAAGTGACTAAAAATAATAAACCACTAATATAGACTAGCCTGGTTCTAAATCGGAATGAGTGTACATTATACACTGCCAGTACACTCACCGTGGTTAAGAACCAGGCTACAGTCTACATTATAGACTGCCAGTACACTCCGATTTAGAACCAGGCTACAGTCTACATTAATGTTTTAAAAAAAATGAAAAATGCGTATGACAAATCTTGACTTAAAGCTTTCATGACTGCAGGAATTCATTCTCTTTGGGTCTTTCGGTAAAGTTGCATAGATAGAAAAATTTAAAAAATCACGACGTTTCGATCGCAACACGAGCAATCGTCCTCGGGTGAAACAATACAGCAGGAGAACTGCTGAGGCAGGAGAACTCCTGAGGCAGGAGAACTGCTGAGGCAGGAGAACTGCTGAGGCAGGAGAACTGCTGAGGCAGAAGAACTGCTGAGGCAGGAGAACTCCTGAGGCAGGAGAATTCCTGAGGCAGGAGAACTCCTGAGGCAGGAGAACTGCTGAGGCAGGAGACCTGCTGAGGCAGGAGAACTGCTGAGGCAGGAGAACTGCTGAGGCAGGAGAACTGCTGGGGCAGGAGACCTGCTGAGGCAGGAGAACTCCTGAGGCAGGAGAACTGCTGGGGCAGGAGACCTGCTGAGGCAGGAGAACTGCTGAGGCAGGAGAACTGCTGAGGCAGGAGAACTGCTGAGGCAGGAGAACTGCTGAGGCAGGAGAACTCCTGAGGCAGGAGAACTGCTGAGGCAGGAGAACTGCTGAGGCAGGAGAACTGCTGGGGCAGGAGACCTGCTGAGGCAGGAGAACTGCTGAGGCAGGAGAACTGCTGGGGCAGGAGACCTGCTGAGGCAGGAGAACTGCTGAGGCAGGAGAACTGCTGAGGCAGGAGAACTCCTGAGGCAGGAGAACTGCTGAGGCAGGAGAACTGCTGAGGCAGGAGAACTGCTGGGGCAGGAGACCTGCTGAGGCAGGAGAACTCCTGAGGCAGGAGAACTGCTGGGGCAGGAGACCTGCTGAGGCAGGAGAACTGCTGAGGCAGGAGAACTGCTGAGGCAGGAGAACTGCTGAGGCAGGAGAACTCCTGAGGCAGGAGAACTGCTGAGGCAGGAGAACTGCTGAGGCAGGAGAACTGCTGGGGCAGGAGAACTGCTGAGGCAGGAGAACTGCTGGGGCAGGAGACCTGCTGAGGCAGGAGAACTGCTGAGGCAGGAGACCTGCTGAGGCAGGAGAACTGCTGAGGCAGGAGAACTGCTGGGGCAGGAGAAATGTAGCGAGAGAGCTGCTGCAGCCATAGGTGAGAAAGGTTTGAGATGGGTGCAACCCAAGGGTAAGTGGGCGGGGCTAGAGATGGAATTTGCATGTCGATGTCAGACCTGAGAGCTGATTACCTCACGACTACGGTGCTGAAGAGGCGGCCATTCTATTGCTAAGCTTAGCGTGTCGATGTCAGAGAAGCGGGCACAGCGAGACATTTGTGGTGCCACAGCAACGGAGCAACTCTGCCAGCGCTGCTATCCCCTTGCAACCCCCCACACAAACGCACGC